AAAAAGCGTCGAAGCATTTCACCGGAGACTTTTGAGCGCTACTGCATGAGCCTGTTCGTTTGCGGAGTTTGGCTCGGAAAGGGATGTGTGCAAAACGTTTACTTTTGAATAATAAATAAGAAGAGTTCTCTATCAAACGCTAATACAAGGCCTTCCAAATCAATTTTCGCAAATTGCACCCTCATGCATAGTTTTATCATAACTTTTTGCTGTTTGGCAAATTGCTGTTTGCTATTTTTTCTCATCGTTGAAAACCATGAAAAAATCACAACTATTTTTGCCAAATGAGCACTTTTCATTTGTTTCTTAGCGCTCCAAACCACAGAAAAGTCTCAATCTTGTGGCAGCAATCAAATATGGCATCGAATGGCATCTTTGACCTTCAGTAAACTTTTGATGGTGATCAGCACCGCTATCTATAGAATTATCAGTCGGATCTCTTGGCGGGGTCTCGATAGTGTAAGGGATAAAAAACAGCGTGATCGATAAGCACAAGCACAGGGTTAATTTCGCATTGCGTAGTGTGGCGAAATAACAGCAGTCAGCAAGAACAACGAAATCTCGTCCGAGCACTACTTCCCGAGTCACGATATCGTCCAACTACAGGCAGTAAGTTCCGAGAAGGTCTTGTATTTCGTGATTACTATTAGCATTTACCTTACCACCGTGAACTTATTCTGCCTGAACATCCTGTAACCAGAAAAAAAGGCGGTAAAGGCAATTGGGTTCAATCGAAACGTTTGCTTGAATCACTCTGCTCCAAAGATTCGCTTCTATTTACGGTGCTTAATTTTCAGTGCAACAGTTCTCGAACTTCAACGATTCGCGAACATCATAGCAATCAATGGTACTCATCGCACGGTGAACGATACATACATCGGTTCAGTTCCTGTCCCAGCTGACACCTTAGTCTTGGGACAAATCTACAATGTTATGGCAAACTCACCGGTCTATCCTGCTCCTGAGAAATTTTCGCCTGAACGATTTCTCATGGATGATGGCGTAACACCTAATAAGGTAACTAATAAGTCATTTCCTGGCTTACTATCAAGTACAGTTTTTACGTATTTTTCCTAAAGGCACCGTTCACATAATTTCGGGTAATCCAGATTATGATGAAAAATGGAAGAAAAGATCGAAACTAGTGCGACTGAGGTGAAGAAATTGCGTGCATTGGTGTTTCCAAAGTGAAAAAAGGCTTCAGAAAACCGTTGAAAAGGGACTGGACGAGGATGAAACAGGAAAAATGAAGAAGGGTGGGGCGTCCGGACGAGCTAAATATTGTGTTTCACTGCGCGCGTGTGGGTCCTGGTGCGAATAACAGACAATGGTAAGCAAAAATTCATTCACTTATAAGCATAATAAACAAAAAAAANAAAAAAAACCCTAGTAACAGCAAAAGTAGCTCTCCTTTTTCAGATTCTAGGAGTAGGAAATTGAATAAGGGATCGCGGCAGCAAAAAGAAAAATAGAGGAAAAAAGGATGGGAGAAAAAACATCGCTTCATCACTCGGCGATTAGCTGATTGTGCGTGGGTCCTAGAACGAATAGTAGCAATCTGTATTGTCTCGACACTCGTCTAACGTGACACCGATCGAGGGGCGGAAACGCGAACGACGGCAACAGCGGGGCTGCCACTATGCCCTGGAGTCGAGATTGGGGGAGTGAGAGGGTCCCTTCTACAACCCATGGGGGCCGGTGAGTATTAATGAGGCAAGAACTCAATAACTTTTTTTTATCGTGAACGGTGCCTTTAATATGGTCTGAGTTTTTGATGTAGTATAAGGGTTTTAAGATTCACATGAATCTAGTAAAAAGAGACTCATCAGTTTTCCAGTATCGGTTCAGCTTTGAAAATGGAGTACAAGTTACAAAACGTATACAAGTATATGAAAAACTAATTTTAGGAAGCTATTGAGCAGTTCTGCCCCTTCTCCATTGGAAAAAGGATGTGCGTCGGGGAAGGAATGGCGAAAATGGAGCTATTCATCGGACTCATCACAATTTTGCAGAATTTTAAGGTGTGTTTTCGGGTTAGAACCTTCCCTTTAGTTAAAGGAGCTCTACAAAAGAGGCTGGCTATCAAATTTCATGCTTTTACTTCAGATTGAACCCGTAAAAGGGCAAGAAATCGATTTGGAACCTACTCTAGCCACTGTGATGCGACCAAAACCACAGCCCCTTCGTATCGTGCCGATTTGAAATTGTTTTATAACTGTTCTTGTGAATGTTGCATATAGTTACACTTGTAACTAGATATTTTTCTCAGGATGTTCACTATTTCCAGTGCTGCTTCGAGTTTCTTGCTCTACATAAAACCATATTGATTCGCACTGGTTTATGAATACGCTGTATTTATTTCTATTTGGAAGTATGTGGGATAACCTCTATTGACTACAATCAACCCTGTTTTTGGAATGCGCCCCGCTTTGACTTCCACTGGGGATCGTGTTGACATTTGAATCCGTATGTGGCTTATACAATGAGTTGCGCAGTAGTCAGCTGAAGTACGAGACAAAGCTTTTGTGCTACTGGATGGGTCTGGGAGCAATTAACCGGCCCCGGAGGCACTGAGGACTTGGTTTTTGTTTCTCCAATTTTGATTCCTGAACCATGCATGTGGTATCGTGCGTCACTTTCCACTACCATCTTCACCCATATTTCTATTGAAATGGGAATATTACTTATCATTTACATACTTATTGCAAAGTCTATGAAATATTGCTGGCTCCCACCAGAGTTCTAGCATCCACTTTTCGAAGCGAGATGCTGACGAGTTTTAAAAAATTGAGCCAAAAAGGCAATGACAGTTCACCTTACACAGAGCACAGTCATAAAGCTTCCAATAATTATATTTGAACTATATTTTATTTTCAATTAAAATAAACATTTTAGTTATTGAAGAGAGTAGCAAATCCAGACTCGATTGGGAGGATAAAAGCACTGACTTGAACATTGGCTGGCCACAGCAGGTGTGTGGGCCCATCTCTCAGACGGGATTGATTAACGCCCCAAGACTTTAACCTTTTTTTGTTCCTAGTTACTAATCACTCGAATTCGCTATGCACTTCAAAAGGCTTTGATTTAGCTACCGTTCTCCATTGGAACTTTTGGGTTATGTCATAATCGGTTGGGCTACGCACACAAACGAGTGCATGACAACAAGAACGTTGTGAACAAGGACATGGTCTACTGTTTCGAACGAAATCGGGTCGTGGATTCATGGGAAGTACCACCCAGCATGGAGCCGCCCCACCCACTGCGAGTCTCCCGCATTATATTTTTGATCGCATATGGTCATTTCTTCCCGACGTCCTAGTTGTTTAAGACCAAACCTCTAAAATTGCTCTCTGCACCGCCCATTTCGATGCACGTCCAGTCCCTGTGAATGGAGCTGCGGTAAGCTCACTTGTAATCCGTTGCCTAATGCCCAATACATCCCAAATCTGACCCGTCTTTTCCGAGTGTTTATTAGGTAATATCAAGTTTCGTGACTAAGATACAAACAGAAAAACGTGAGCGCTTTCTAAATTCGTGACCCTCTACATTGCCCTTAACAAGAGCGATCTGAAAGCGGTTTTTCGGTCTTACTTGTTTGTTTATCCTACGTGTTTGAGTGCTTCAAATCTTTTTTTGGCGATATTGGTGATTAATCCTTACCTAGCAATCAGATGGTTGTTATCTTCCAAAGAACGTGAAAACAAGTATGAATCTTTGGAAGGGATTTCTAACCTTGAAAAGAATCTGAGACAGTAACTGTTCTCGGAATAATCCAAACCCTTTCTCACTTGATTCAATGTCAATACCGTCACTCTCGGACTGTTCTAGAATAAGGATGAATTTTGGGCAGTACATATTCCCTAACTATGACGGGTCACGTAATAAGCTCCCACTTTTAGTTTTTATATTGCTTGATCACATATAATACTTAAGCTACATTCATAAGGAAATGTAGGATGTAGATGAACAAAACAGCGCTTTAATGCTAAGAGACGATTCTGGAACCAATACGCTAAGTCTGCTGCACAGAAGAGTGGTAAATCGGTCTGAATGAGTGTCGATACATCACTTTATTCCTGCACCATACATATTATTGATAGCTGCGTTCTGTAAAGTTCCCATGACACTGTTGTTTGCTAGGCAACATTTCAATAGTCCTTTTGTATGCTATATCAGCATATAATCTATTAAGCTGTTACAAGATGCATTGATTTGAGATTCCGTAAAAGCAGATTAAAATCGCCATAAGGGGTGAAGCTCAAAGGTGAATGATAACAGTTTAGTTCGCATTACTAATCGGATCCCGTTCAATCGCAAGCAAGACGTCGTTTTGTTAGAAACAGTTCTGCATTTTAGTGGGATCATGCCTCAGTGATGTGGAAGTTTTTTAGAGTTCCACTTTGGAGCTTTTATTCAATTCTATTTAAAAGCAACTAACGATTGTATTTAAATGATTTCTACAATTGTAGCGACTCACCCTCAAGTTCAGGTACAGTTTCGGAAAACTGAAAAAAACATTCTGGGCAAAACAACCGTTCAAACTGGGCTTGTGACCAAGTACAAGGCTCACCACTGACTTTTTTTGTCAGTAAAAAGTAGTGTGGGCCTTATTCCGTGTGTCTGGAATATAGTCTTAGCGGAAACAGTTCGTAAACAAAGACCACGTTGGTACTTCAAGTTTTGAAAGAGTTTTAAGAGAATGGTGGGGAAATTCTGGAGAATTCCAAAGTATCTGTCAAAAGCGTTTGAGAAACTTAGTCGTTCATTCGTAAAACTTGATATCAAATTAGTAGACCCCTCAAGAATCACCGTAGTGTCCTGGGAACGGACTTGAGCGAAACCAGTGATAAGCGATACGGAGACTGCATCGGCGTTCTGATTAACTTTAACACTTGGTGGCGGCTGGCGAAGGTTCTTTGGTGTTTGTACTGGCGCTGTTGAGGGAAGATGTGTGATTTGTAGTTGGGCGTGTTCAGGCACTAAGATGCGATCACCTCTATAAAACAACCACAACAGCTGCTTACAGTGAGAAGATCGTGAGCCGTATTCGTCTAGAAAGTATGTTTGCTGCCCTGACTCTGTTCCTATTCTCTGTTATCGTCTACTATATATGGATATTCTATGCGAATGTAAAGCGATACCCTAAAGGACCTACCCCTCTACCGATTGTCGGTAATTTACTTTCGGTAAGTTGTTATAGATGGTCCGAAACAAACGTCTCTTCTCGAACGCTGTTACAGATCGATTTACGAAAATTACATAAATACTTCGAGCTTATGGCAAAAGATTACGGTGATGTCTTCACTGTATGGCTTCCAAAGCCACATGTGGTCATCATGAAGTATGACTCCATCAAAGAGGCTTTTGCTAAAAGAGGTAGTAACTGGTTATTCGAAGAAACTGATCAGCAAACTTGAAGCTCAGTGTTTAGCATAAGGATCGATTATGGTGTTGTAGTCATCGCGTTTGGTCTTCACCAAAACACCCGCAGTATACCTTAGGTTAGAGGCACAGTTCACGATACCTTAGGGTGATCCAAATT